GGTTCCATTGCAAAAATGAAATTTTCCTTTTTTCCTTACTTTAGAAATTTAATGAGGTAGTACTGCCATCATAAATTTATGTCGACAAACGCAATTGAAAAAAGCTAAATAGCCGAATTTGTCCGGAAAAAATGCCCTCGGTCGTGTCGCACTCAACGTTTTAAACAAAAAAGCAAGTCTATCGTAGACAGTATAATGGCTTTTTTAGATACAATTTTTTTATTCGCTTTCAGCCTTGAATTTTAGCAACTGACTTCTAATATTGTGGACATACTCCCAAAACTTGACCCATTGTGTTTTCTCTAAGTTTTTAGCCACAATTACCATAACCTACGTCGTTGCCTAGCAGTTACCATATGAGCGCGGCTTGATGCGCCCTTCAGAGGCAGCGAATAACAATATGAGCTCAACGTCAGCTTCTTTGTTAATACATAATGTATGCATTATGAATGTCTCGTGCAGAATGTATACAATATGTATATATCATACATAATGTATTAACTATATCATACATAATGTATTAACCAAGTGAGTATATATCACTTGAGCGTCTTGCTCACCAGCATCACTGCACACGCTGTACCGATTGGAATATTTGGCAGGTAATTTACTTGTTATAATAATGCAAAGTTTGTTACTCGTTTCAGTTCAAGAATGTACAAAAACAACTGGCCTAAAATGATAAATAATATTCTAAGTAAAATTGTTTGTAATATCTCCCTGACAAACATGTATTTCCAAACAAAACACTTTCCCGTCTGCAGTTCTGGAAATGATACATTCGAAAGTCATAATGGGTTTTAAGATATAACATTATTGCTTATAAGAACATATCATGAGAAGCATTCATATCATCCATAGAAGAAGGCTGTTAACAATCATGGCATAAAGATTTTTCTTAGTTTTTCCCACAAAAATTAATTATTCCCACAAAAAAAAAATAAATCGGTCAAGTTCGCGTGGAGGTGAAGAATATCGCAATATGTCAAGAAGTTGGGCTTTTTTGCAACAGCAAATTACTGTCGCTGTAATTCATGGTCTCATTACTAAGCATTTATTACGATGGATTCGCAATCGACAATTTCCATTTCTTTTGTTCTATTTATGCTATTGATAGATTGAACTGAATCACTTTCCTACTCAGCTTATTCTTACTGTCAAGGTTAAAAGTCTTTCTCTTTCATTCTTCACTCAAATCATTATGATAGTATTGACGTTGTTATTCTAAGACAATAAATAATACTCCAATTTCATAGAGTATTGAGAATGTCTTTTTTTTAATTTCCTGACTATGTGATCATGCATTTTAGTCAGATCATAATCGTAACGAATCATTATCTAATCATCATCTTGAATTTGTACCAATTATAAGAGAATTAGCTACCACTACTATAAGGTAGGCGTATCGATAATGAATGAATACGGACAAAATATCAAGATATATTTCCCATTAATGTTACTTATGCTGAACTTATATGAAGCATTTGGCCCCACAAACGCAGCTCCGTACATTTTTCGTTTGTTTACAATCATCACACAATTAATCATGATTATTAATTTATCGTTGAGCATTACACGACAAAGTAATAACAGTAATTATAATTATCAAATTCAAGGTATACAGTGTACAGGTTCTGCTTGATCTCGGCATTGATGAAATGTCATGAATTACACTAATTTGATCTTATTTACAAGGAACATAAATGCAATCTACTCGTCCAGCAAATTAACTAATCATTAAATACGTTTCGGAGACCAACTCTATATATCGTCAGATCAGAAACGTTAGAAAACACAAGTAAAATCAGCAGAACATTTCAAAATTACCCGAGAGAGATTACAACCTAAGTAAGTAACGAAAAACCATAAACCTGAATTACATTAACACATTCTTTCTTATCATTCTTGGTGAATTAAGCAGGCTAATTATATAAGTGAGCACAGATTCGGTCGCCAGCCCACAGGTTTGGAATTTAGAGCACAAGTAAAACGGTGACCTTTTACATGGCATCGCCCCATCCGCACTACCGGCGACCAGGTAACCTGCTTATTGCGTTCTGAGGTCATGTGACGACCTCATCAGATATGCGGGGTCATTACTCATTTATTATATTCATTTATTAACGATATTCGTGCGTAAACTCGAAGATATAAGTAGATCATAGTGTTCGAATAGAGAAACGCGTTCAGCATTGTTCCGATTTTTTGTCGGTTCAACTAGACCAGGGTAACCCATTCAAGAGCAAAGATTGCATCACTATATGGACAAAGTTTCCCTCATTTCTTTGTGTGCAGAAGCGTCTATACAATTATCAGGATAAATAATCTAACTCGTATAGATTCTGTGTAGCATAATTTATAACATAATTCATTGATTTATTCAAACTCTAGTGGAATAACCTGCTTGATTCCTGAACAGTCTTGAATGTTTAATATTGTTTGTCAATTGATTTGTTTGAATTTAATGTTTAAATAACATTTATAATTATTACTTTCAATACAATGCGCTATCATGCATTAACAAGTGGCCCGTACAAGCATTTTACGCGTTCGTTATGTGAACGTCGAAGCATTCATCCAAACGGTAACAACAACATTGAAAGTCAAATTATGCAGCAAAACTTAAAACACTTATGGGAAATGAGGGTTACAAATAACCAATACCTCTAATAATAATTAATGAATTTCTGATGTGCGTATGGTGCATTTTACTTTTAAAAAATACACCTTCCATTCAAACCTTAAGTGCTATACTTGAAGCAATAAAACATTTAAATTACGAGGACCAACTTGCAGGCCGCGCACGCTGTTAAGTTCGAAATGATGGGCCAAAATTTAGGCTTTGCGATGGTCTGGGCAACCCAGTTTTTTTGCACCGGTTGCTTCTTGCCAAACTTTGACTACTTTCGATGTTAGTGAAGCAAAAACTAGTATGCAGGTCACTGCCAACCGATGCTAGGTAGCATGATAGTAATGTTTTTGCTCGTTGCCACCAGGCATCTAACGTTGAAATAACGTTGATTAAACGATGTTTAAACGGAATCAACGTTGAGTCAGTGTTATTTGCCGACAGCCTATAGGCACTCAGCTCACGCCCGACATTCTACTGGCTACTCATGTTTGCATGGTTCATTTTAATTAATGAACCCTATATGTACCGCTTATCTGCAGTACCCTATTTTTTTAGTAGCTCAATCTACCATAAGGACATTCTACTTGAGACTTGACCTCTAGACCCATACTCTTCAGTGAAGAATATTTAGGGACGGGGTATCTGCCCCCCACAAGGTGTCGTTCTACCCCTAGCCCCCGGCAGTGGACTGGGTGAATCACAAGCACTCCATTAGGTATAATTATGAGAATTTTTGTCTATAATTATACATATTATTTTGTACACTTCGCAGTGCTGAATCAAGCAAACTCCTACCTGCGGTATCAGGCATATTTTTAAGCGGGCTAAAACAGTGTTTTTCTATAAATAATTAATTTAAATCACAATGGGTGATAATATTATAGAGCCGCATGATTCCCGACATAAATAGGTTTGGTGACTACGAACCTAAAAGGCACTTGTATATTCATCACAGCTCCAGAAGTCGAAATCACAAACAGACAAACGACAAGGAAATTTATAAATAAAGCGTTTAAAATATTTAGAATGCCGCAAAGATGCTCATGCTCACATCAATCTAAAAAAAGAATCCATAGCATGAGTAAAAAATTTCAAAGACTCTTCTACGCCGTTGATGACCCACTTGAAATCGTCAGACGGGACGATGCGGTGTCGGTGCCACGCAACGTAAATACCGTGACATGGCGTTTCTCGAGAGGTGCGAGTTTCTTATGAAACATAACACTTTCCTGGCTTCAAAAATAGGAAGCGAGAACAGTTTGTTGCGTTAGCTAAAGCCTTGTTATGCTGACTACTGTTCCAAAGCGCATAGTGCAGACAAAAATTAAAAAAAAATGCTTCCACGTTTTCAATTGAAAACCTGTGCACCAATCGCAAGGGGATACGAACAGACATTGAATTGTAGCCTTCCAACATATCACACGTTTGAGATCGTGGAAAGGATGCAATATAAATTCAAAAATTAGCTGCCCGCGCGTCAAACCTCAGCTATCGTGAGCTATAACAGGTAAAACGTACATATAAATCATGAACTATAACTGGGCATTAATAGAGCATGAGCTGTAGCAGGACATAACGTGACGTCATTTGCCGGAGCTGCGCCAAAATACTCAAAAATTATCACCCAATTTCACCCGCCTGTCGCCACTTAGTCCACAGCAACGACCGCACTCATTCTGAAATTTCTGATGATTACATATTTCTCAAAATTATAAAACGGCACAATATGCATGGGAATATTAATAAATATAATAATGTGTTAACTAAACAGGTGGGCATTCCGCCTCCGAACGACTGCTAGCAAAAAGTCCAGTTTGTAGGTCAGCTTCGCAGTGAGCGTTCGGTTCGCGACTGCAATGCAAGCCTGAACAATCTGACTGCCTGCAACGCAGTCCTTCTTTGGGATATTGGAACTTTGTGTTAATGAGTTAATGCCGTCCTAACGGTTGTGTTGGTGCCGTCCCGCTTGTGGGATCAGCTAAACTATTGTGTTGGTGCTTTTTAAATTTACCGGTAGGGCACGCATCAACTTCCGACGATGAAGCGTCGCAAATTTACCGCTTACAAACTTTATCGCAACTTTAGCGTCTCGCTTGCTCACAAACGGTAAAGTCAGAAGATTTTCACCACTTTAGCGAACCTATTACTTACATACGATGAAGTCATGATGAAGATTGTCGTAACTTTTGCATGTCTCTTGCTCACCGACGATGAAGTCGTAAGATTGTCCTAAAGATTGTCCTACCTTTATTATTTACTCTTACTCACCGACGATGGAGTCGTAAGATTGTCCTAACTTTATCATATCTCTTACTCACCGACGACGAAGTCGTAAGATTGTCCTAACTTTATCATATCTCTTACTCACCGACGATGAAGTCGTAAGATTGTCGGGTCGGGGTTTCCTCGACTTTGAAGCCCCGGAAGCCGACCAGGATCCAGGCCAGCGTGCGGATGAACGTGTAGATGAGCGTCGCGACGTGTGCCATGCTGGAGTGTGTATTTGGTGTGTCTTTGGCACGTATTTGGTGTGCCTTTGGCACGTATTTGGTGCGTCTCCTTGATACGTTTATGGTATAACACTTGTTTAACAATACTGTATCACTTGCTGATTAATGGTTTATTTCTGATCAACGATGCATGTAACAGTTTTTCATATCGGTGGTGCATTTGAGAAAAAGCTGAGACACCAATACAATGTTCTTGTCAAAAAATAAATTCTTCTCAATTTAAAATATCTTGACACTCTTTTTCTTTAAATGTACTATCAATTGCTTGCACTGCTGACAAGTCACTTATAAATTGAATTTTTTCACCGCACAGAGCATCCGGCAATAAAATATAACAATACAAATGTCAAAAGTTACTTTGTATAGTTATTCCACGAATCGTATTTTCATCAACTTATTATTAAGCGACCTTGGACAGGAACTTAAATAATTTTTCTGGTGTATAATGCGGCGACTTTGATAAATCTTTTAATATGTATCAACATACGTTATACATATCTATATTGAATATGCATTAATACGTGTTGTATTATCTTCCGATGTTCACTGGATGTTTATCAACATTCGTTCTGCCCAGCATTCGCAATTCTGCAGTAGGAGGTATAATCAATCTATGAAAACGTCGTTGATATTTGTTTCGTCTTATATATCGTTCGTGTTGACATCGTAGCAAGTTTAACCTGCAACTCGTTCGTTGTTATAGTTCTTATTAATTTATTTACGTTCGTTTTCATTGTTTTCACACACTGCCTTCATTCACGCTTGCCTGCCATTTGTGTTGTTATTTATTGGCAAATCTACCAATCTTATGTTTCTGAATTTATGAAATGATAGGATTCTAGGTTGAATTATTGAAATTATTAAAAAGCATAACCTAGAACCAAAAATACAATGTTAGTACATAGTATAGGTGCAAATATTAATAAAAATACAATGACATAGAGATACAATACAATCGAGACACACGTTTTCTTGTGTGTCTCGAGAGCCAAAAATGTAGAAAACACGGCAATTTTCACCGTGTCGATATGAATTAGTTTAACCTTTATTATTTTTCCGGATAATTTACATGTGAGCAGGACGAACGTTGGTCTCACTTCGGCGTTCATTTTCACCCCTGAATAAACCAGGCACATCAGACATCACGATGTTTTGAGAAACTATTACTTCCAGAACATCATTCTTCACAATTGCGTTAAAAAATGCTTGAAGTCAGAGCATCACTTCCCCTTCTTCTCATCCCGAGACTCCCGTCCAGAGCATCACTTCCCCTTCTTCTCATCCCGAGACTCCCGTCCAGAGCATCACTTCCCCTTCTTCTCATCCCGAGACTCCCGTCCAGAGCATCACTTCCCCTTCTTCTCATCCCGAGACTCCCGTCCAGAGCATCACTTCCCCTTCTTCTCATCCCGAGACTCCCGTCCAGAGCATCACTTCCCCTTCTTCTGGGGAAGGGAAGAGAAAGGCTGCGTCACACGAACGCCGTCAGCTAATTTACCCCGGCGCATTTTTCCAGCGCAAAGTGGCGGCTTGCGCGCCTACATTCGTGCTACACGCAAACATTAACGAGTGATGTGGGAACTGTCCTCATGCGTGTTGGTCGTAAATTCTACAACCATCGTAAACTTCGACGATACTGGTAAGTTCTTCTCTGGTATTAAGTTATGCTAAAATTATAATTTCTGCTTTCATCTTTAACTTGTAATAAAGTTGTAAATTTTAAGCTGATCTCAAGTTTGAATTACATTGAGTTCCACGATCGTAGTGAAAGAATATGATGATTTGTAAGTTCTAAGGAAACCGAAAGTACAACTCAAGACTTCGTTATAGGCGTAGATAATTTTTTTGATCAGTAGCGGGCAATATAGTTAGCTTCCCGATGGTGTTTAGATTTCAGTGATTCTAAATGTTTTTGTGTTATTATGGCAAGTATGCCTCATAATTCTGTGAATAAATAATTAGTAAAACGAAATATATAATTAATATATAATTAATTTGGATATAATCGCGGTTTAATTTAAGCTGAAAATTCCGACGAAGCATCACAAGAAAGTTATCTCCATAGTTATCTCATCTCAGAACGTGCCCACAGTCGTTACATTACCGATGACTCTCCGCATCATATATATACGTACTAAATTCGCAAATACTATTCAAACATCCCCATATTTATTTTGCCAAATGATCAGACATCTCTGTTAACAACGGAAATAAATTAACAGAACAGAATTAATCAGAAATTTTTGGCGACTCCGCGCAGCGGCCACAACGACGTGGAAAGGTCACGTTCCTATTAGTGGCGGTTTTTGGATGATGCATTCATTTCCTGCTTAAAATTATCTGGGTTATTTCGCTGATAATTCTGCCATAATTTCCTATTTATTTGATGCGAGAAAACTGTTCGTGACAAGCTTACTGGCACATAACGCGTGACGCGCCGTACGTTACGAAAGACTGCTGCTCAATTCAGAGTTGTGACCACCAACATGATCGACGGAGTTATAATTAAAACGTCTGCTGGTAATGAAGTCGAACACTTCAAAATATTCAGTAAACTTATGTTATCTGGGTCAGGTACCAGCGTTAAATTTTAGTTCTGATATAGGATCCGGATTTTCAAGTTTCATCCTGGATTCAAAATTTCTTATCGTGGGTAAAATTATGCGATAAAGAATTTGAATGTCCAAATGTGACGAGTTATTCTTGAGATATTGAGTTATAAACGAACACTGGTAATTTATCGCAGTAGAGACCAGAGCCGGCGTATTATAACACGAGGAGCACGTGACTGCATTGTGGTGAACATTACCACAAGAAGGTAGTAATATAACTGCAGCAGAGTTCAGTCCCGCGCTTATGAAACGGCCATTAATCGTCGCGGAAGCTTCGCGTCCAGCACCGACCGAATTCGCAACACGAGAAAAAAATTGCTGCGCTGATGGCACTTTTTTTTTATCGAATGGGTTTCTGAAATTTTAATAAAAACCTTGGGATAAACTGAAAAATCACTTAAAATTTTCCTATAAGGCATTACAAGCACAAGGTTTTGATTGCTGGCAATATTTCGGGACTCCAACGCGGTTTCCAACGCCCTTGGATTTATGTTCTGCTTCTGCAATTGCTGCTTGACTTTCTAAACAAAGAATAAGGGCCGGCTGAAGAAAATGCAGCCTCTTGAGTCGTTCAGGAAGCTTTTATACCTGTACCAAGATCCTCGAACAATATACGACGCTCGTAAGTTCATTTATTCTATGAGTCTTGTGTTCTTGGAAGGACTGAGTTTTTGCTGAAAAAATCACTTTCCGTAGCACCATTTAAATGTTTTAATTTTCCAGCGGTCGAATTTAACCCAGGTGGCTAGTAGAGCTCATCGGCTTGATGGTACAAATACCTTTCGGTCATTGTAACTTCTAAGACGACCGTAAGTTTGGCTCCAACTCTACCGCTTGGAAATCCAGAGTAAAATAGAGTTTCATATTTTGATGAGGACACCGTTACCAAGTTGTGAAGCCTCTGAATGTCCGTCGCGGGGCCTTGGGCCGTAGCCACGTTCTGGACCACTGGCGCGCTAATGCTGCCCTGACTCGCACGGGGCGTTGCATGGGGGTTGGACTATAACGTCGTGGATATTTACGTGATAAATAATGAATATATTAGTCACTATTAGTCAATATTAGTCTACTTCTAACTACATTAGAATTTATGGCATTAAATCCGTCTTCATTGAATGTGAGTTTCATTTATTTAAGATGGAAATGAAATATTTCGGAAAGTGAATGCAGATCAAAAGCAACGCTGTACGCGAATAAAGACTTCGTCGGATGTCTTAACCAAGGGAAAACTGTCCAGAGAAAGATTTATAATTTTTTCAATAAGGATTTAGTGGGAATCTTAAAAAAAATTTTCTCCCAAAAATTTTTTCCCAAAATTTCCAAGCAAGACGAAATAAATGTTTGAGTTCAGAAAATTTTCTTAAGCAGTTAAGGATCATGAACAAAATGAAAAAGTATTCTCCACATCATAATGAATAATATTCCTGTTAACATGTGAATTTTCCTAATATTAGAGAATTGAGAAGCTTTGTACCGCAACTGCATTTCGGAAAAAAATAACTAAGATTGTATTAACATCCACTGACTCAGAAGTCCACGGCAGTTACATCCACGGGTCACATGCGCTGCGTAACTACGTACACCAAACCACTCACTGCGGCGGTTGACGCCGCACTGAGTCAGATTGACCTGGCAATCCCATCACAGGGGCAGGTCACTCGTCTTGAGCGCAAGTCTGCGTGCCGGAGGTCACGTTCAACTCACCAGCGTTTGGCCATGAAAGCTTCAAATGTAAACAATCAGAGCTAGACGTGTCAACATCGGGAATTCAAATGGGAATCTCGCTTTTAGAAAGGAGGATTAACACACACGGGAATGAGCGTGTCAATTTTATAGAATGTACTGACCTTGGCAAACCAATGAATTATCAAGCGAAGTAATTAAATATTTGTATATATAATGTTTTTGCCATATATATTATATATTTTGCATGTGAATGCATCTGATGCGTGGAAAACACTGTATTCGATACAAGCCTTCGAAATCCTTGGGCTGGTCAGTGATATTGGGTCACCATGGTACCGCAGACCTCAGTCACATTTTTTAATGTGACTCAAAAAGCTTTTTTCGTAATTTAATGAATCAATGCAAGAATTGTAAGCAAAATTAGTACAACGAAAAACTTTTATGTACAATCCATATATTATAACAGGTTAAAACATAAACTTTATTTCAGCACATTTTTTGGCATGTGCAACATTATTAAAAAAATGTATTTTCAAATAAATTTTTTCGAAACAAAGACTTACTCAATATGCCTTCTTTTTATTTTCTTCGTGTGAGAATTTGTAATTTAAACTCAGACTGAACAGATGGAGCTCACACAAGTGGCAACAACACCAACTCAACCAGGTTCGATTGTGAGTCGGTGCAGTGTATGCGCCAGTAAAGTTTTTCTTGTACGACTTCTATTATTGGTTTTAAGGGGCCTGGTAGTGAACCAAGGTGCTGTGACTGCTGTCCACCTGATCAAACAGAATGCAAGCTTGAAAATAGGCTGTAAATTCTCCAAAATCTGTGCGTTCTATCGTGAACCTATTAAGAATATTTATACTGACTTGACTGCCATTACTCTGAAATGTTTAATCGTGTGACAGTGAGGATGATGTGTGTGACAGTGAGGATGATGTGTATGATGAGAAATGTTGAAGCACGTATGTACGGTAAACTGTAACTGAATGTGTGAACACTGAATCATAAAATGTAGCTGAATGTGCGGATCGTAAAATGTCCCGTATTTAGCCAAATGTTGAGCCTGAATTTTGCTTTGGAATACTTTGGGTTCAGGAGTCTACTAAAAAAGGGTGCGCTGAATTATTAAATCGTAAAAATTTCTTTTCGATCTTGTCGTACCACTTCCCACAATTTGGTCTCCTGGGAATTAAGTATACCAAATACCAATCGAGTATTGTACCTAATCTGCCGGCGTGGGATATGTATGTGCATTATTGTTAATGTCATTTGTCATGCTCATGTGTAATGAGCAAATAATGATATGTAGGTACCTTCTAGTTTTACGGACGTAAACACTATAAAATACGCTTCTTCTAATTTCTATGTCAGCGGGTCGAAATGTTGAAGATGACCCTATCACTATCCCCTATGACACTATTATTACCACCCAATGAATGAGACCTTAACTTATTGCTGGAATTCCCAGCCTAGTCTGTTATCTGACGAATGATATCTTCTATTTTTGCAAATTCGGCTGAAAACAGAATTTATTGACTGTAGATAAAACATTGGGCTAAA